AACATTTAGGTTCGTACATTAATTATTTTCGGTAGAACGTACATTTTATTAAATTTTTGATTATCTTGGTTTCTGTAACAAATTTATTTTAATCACATTTTACTTTTATTGCTATTATATATTTTCTAAATATGCCTTTTATAATTTTTTCTATTTTTTTAATTCTTTTAGTTATGTGTATTCATTTATAATTATTGGAATGTACATTATATTAAATCTTCAATTATCTTGTTTCTTTAATTTAATACTTTAATTATTTACTTTGTTTTTGTAATTGTACTCTATTGTTTTTGCTTTGTATGTATTTGAGGGTCCCAAATGATCAGCCCTGGCTGGATGGACCACCCTCACAAAATATTGTTGAAATAAATAAATAAATAACTAATGATTGGCATTTGTCCAGCCACACTTGAATTTACAGGATATTTAATAGATATTATCATTAATTATTAATTACTTTAATCATTATTATTAATACCAGAAATATTACTACACATTTGCTTTACATCTGTCTTCTTACTCATTTGCCATTCTTCCAATAAATGATCATTGGATAAATTATAGCTTATTAAATGCCTTTCAAAATTGAATAAACATATCATAAATAACATACACCAATAATATATGACTTCTGTTCCACATTGGATGGTAGAACATTTCAAACAAATTGAAACAAAGAACCATATTTTCTTTGTTCTCACTCCAGAGCTACTCAAGCATGACACCAAGTCACAACTGGTATAAAAATAAATTCACAGCGGGTATCATAAAGTGATGGTAAAATCATTTTCGTTTGACAAACAACTTTATCCGTATTAGCAAAACTACTATTACTAATAGGCCACCTTCCTTTTTAGTTTCAAAAGTCAACAAACCAAGAAAATCCTACAGAGGTCCAAACATCCTTATAAGCAATTAGTACACGTGTCAAAGGCCTGGCCAGATATCTGTGTGATGGTCATCTAATAATAATAATAATCATCATAGAAAAGAAAACCTTAAAGAGTTGATGAGAGTTGTGTGTAAAAAAAAAAGGTAAATTGAGTAATATGTACATCAATTAAAAATCAAGTGGTCCTAGGTCTATTGTCATGAAGACAAAGGAAACAAGCCTCCATACCACTAACTTACAAAAAAAAAACCAAGACCAGAAACATGTTTTTTTAAATTTTTTTTCTTATTTGAGCCAATATGCACTACTTATTAATTTTTTTTTATTTGAGCCAATATGCACTACTTATTCAGTATGCAGGTGTTGGTCCCAAGCCTTCTGCACTCCCACAAGAAAGCAAAAATCTCCCAGAAACTAACCCATCCCTAACAAATTCATTATATTTTACATGTTTTTACTACTGTATCAATTGTCTTCTGGAAGTCAGGTGGTGATAGGTATCATCATGTGGAGCAAAAATAAAGTTAGATGTGTTGGGAAAACTCTAACCTGATTCACGGAAGTGGCTTCCTACAACTTAAGACCCTTGGATATGCAATACCCTATTTTCTTTTGCAATATGAAGCAAATGACAAGTGGCAGCAGTAAAATGGTAATTCTAGTATTAACTGCCCGTGTGCCGTGAGCAGTAATGATGCATTAATTATGGTAGTGTTGTATGGCAACTTATTGTAGCTAATAATACAGTCGGAAGCAACTTACATACTCTGGGCAACTAGTTGCCCAGTTGAGATAAGTTGAATCAAGTTTAAGATCGCGGATATGAGTGATATGTTGGAATTTAGCAGCAGAATTCAATGAGCGTGGTTATGAGGGACAACTTGCGATTCGATAACAAACTCCCTGCGTGAGGAGCGTAGATATGAGGGACAAATTACGATTCAATATCAGAACCCCTGCATGAGGAGCGTTGAGGAGGGATAATTTGTAATTAAATAGCAGACCCCCTGTGTGAAGAAGTGAACATGAGGGGTACCTTGTCATTTAATATCAGATGCCTGTATGGGAGACTGTAATCCATGAATCATCATTTCCAAATCTGAGCATTAATCATTGACATTTGCCCTTTGGTTATTAATTCACCAACCAAAACAGTATGAGGGGTTTGACGGTTGACAGAGACCCTACCTATAATTTGGCTTGCATCTTTAGCGTTAAAAATCATTGACGACCAAACCTTAATTCAAAATGTCAAAGCCTTTTTTTATGCTCTATTGTGATAATATACACTTTACAGACTTTACCACAAAAATCCTTACAATTAATAACCTGCCAATCTTAATATAAATAGGAACAGTATCAATTGTGTTTTGGCACAGAAAATACTTTGTTTTAATTTTCAACTGAAATGTAAGGCCCAATAAAAATATATTACATTATCACTCTTCTTCTGCATGTTTTATTCAGAATCTCGGATTTTCTTTTTCATTGATTGATTCAATACATTTGATCTTGTTATCCCACTTTTTATATCACACAGAATGACACATAGGATGTATTTTAACCACATTATTTAGATAATAAAAATTATCCAAAAAAAATATTGCTGTCCTAATATTATCCTGGTACAAGATTCAATGGTAAAAATATGCAAGAATACATTAAAAATGCAGTTGAAATGTTTACGTTGCAAAAGGCTGATGCTCAGAAGATAACCAATACCTAAAGTCGGATACTCACAGCGGTCGTCAGCAGATGCGATTCTACGAAGAACACGACGCAATGGCGCGCACACAACGGATCGTTCTTAATGACGATCCGTTCAGACTGCTACTGACAATCAGCAGACGGTGTTGCATAGTCTATCGCTCACAGGCAGCAGAGTGGGATTCGTCGGGCGACGGTCGGACGACCAACGTACGATGCAGTGAGTGCTCGGCTTTAGAATGAGTAGGATCTTAGCGGATACCAACAAGGGATACTCATTTTTTTTTTTATATATATATATTTTATAATTTTAATAAAATACTGAAATTATCAGTTAACTGATGGATTTGTTTACACTTACTAAGGAATTGATGATAAATTTTTAAGAGCTTTGCAATTTACATCTAGTTTATCATATTTGAGTAACTCAAATATGCTGCACCTTTAGCTTAGGTAAAAATAACTAATTAAATTACTTCACTTCCAGCATTTATATAGCACATTTTTTATTCGATACAAAGCGCAAACACCTCAAAAACCCAAAGCAAGTAGGCCTAGACAACTGCCCAAACCCAAACACTAGAAAAAAATTCTCAAACAAAGCAATGGTGAAATTTTCAATTATAAGTTGAGAATTTTTTAAAATTTAAAAATATTTTAATTGTTGGTGTGTAAGATGACTGTGCTGTTTGGTTAAATGTACAAAGATTAAAGTTAACTATACAGAGTTAACTTGCATATTGTGTACACCATAGCCCATGCACTTTAGAATACTTCATCTTCATTTAAACATTGAAACATCCTGACAAACTCTCAAAACCTGTCAATAATTTATTTCAAAAATTAATAGCCATATTATCAACAATCTGCAGATTTCATACAGCGAAGGAAACACGGACGACAAATAGTTGTACAATACCTTGAATTTGACATCAAAATTAATTCTTTGATTTTAAGCAGTTTCTCGTAAGTGATACAAATGGAGGTTGGCAGAATATAGTGTGCCATTGATTGTTTTCAAAGTTTTGGACCAATGAATGATAGGAAATACAGGAGATTTATGATTTAGATATACCTTGAGTTTGCCAGTAAATATTTGGCTTTGAGTCTTAACAGCTTTCCTTATCCTTGAAAGTAAGGGGGCAACATGTCCGTGGACACCCTGGAGTATACTCTATCCCCGTGACTTAACATTTTGCTCATGGTCACTAAGCATTATCTACAACTACCATCTTTATTCCCTGAGGAGCAGTCATTGGCTCAGCTGCCAGTCACATTTTTACTCACTACCGAACTGATACATTTACTACATCCTCAATTTCCTACCACCAGGTATATCAAATCATGCACCTAAAGCGTTATGGCAATATGCAGTGCTAGCCTTATCTACGGATGCATGCATCATCGTCGCCTCTTTCATACTTTAAATGGGAATGGAAATCCCACAGGACCTCAGCAGGAAACCCAAGCACATGGATGCCTTCCAGTTTGAAGTAAACACACTTAAGTACAAGTGCTGAAGTTACAAAGAGACTTTCAGGGAAATGTTTGCTTGATAATCATTTAACCACATGCATTGATATTATATTAATCAATTAATAAAACAAATTTAACCTTTTTTTGTAACTACAGAGAATTTAATTTATTACTAAAATATTGTTATAAAATTTATATTATTGAATCCCTGACTTCAAGTCCATCTGCTCTTGTGGTTTTCTGCTGGTTGACTGAAATAAAAGTTTCTAAAGCACCACATAATATCAAAAGTGATGTTTAACCTGTTGGTTCCATTTGAATGCTGGCCCATATGCATGTTAAAGAACTTTTTATACAAGTTAAAAAAAAAAGGGGGGAAAAAAGATGATCTTCCAGTGAACTGTTTAATAAACACTATAGAGGCTCACCCATAATGGTCTTTATTCTTAACAATAAGTCTTCAAAAAGGAGCTTTCCATTCTTCCCTACTGTGGAATTTGATATGATTTTTGAACAAACCCATTGTTTAAAATATTTTGCTTACACTTATATAAATTTTAACAAAGCAATTTTAATAGATTTTATCCTTTTTTTTGGTGCAGATTTGAATCAATATTAGAGTGCCATTGATAGTGTTATATTCAGCAAAAATCAGAGTACTATATGTCTTTTTTGGGCCACTTTACTGATATATTTAATCATTCTGACTGAAAAATGAACAACATAAAATAAAATAATAAATTAGAAGCTTACCTGGTTTGCGTTCTTCAGATGTGCTTTTATTCTTTGATACTGCCAAGACTTTCTCCACCTCTGGGCTAATTTTTTTTGGTTTCTTTTGTCTTAAGCCGTACACATGCTGTCGTGGAGTCGTGCTGCTGTCACCTATAGTTGCTGGTTCGAGATCTGATTGAACCCCTTTTTCCATTTCCTTGTCCCGTTCTTTCATTTTTCTTGGGGTTCGTGTTTTCTTTTCCACAAATTTGTAACTATTTACTGAAGGATCAAATTTCAGATAAAGGAATTTTTATTATGAAAATTTTACATTTTCTTTTAATAAAATTAGATATTTATGCAATTGTTGAGGAGAATAACCAAGAAAATATAGCTCTACTCCAAACAGGACACAAGCATTTCTTTATAAACATTTATTTACGATGACTGGGACCTATGATAGGTCTAACGATACGGAAAGGATACGCGAGATAAGTAACATGGGAAAGGGCATGGAAAGCGCCACGCAAATTTTTTTTTATATAAGCGCCGCTTTCGAATAAGCACCGCTCCCAAATAAGCACCGCACTGAAGCCTCCAAAAATGTTATAAGCGCCGCGGCGCTTATTCGACCATTTACGGTAGTGTCATGTAAAATGGCATATACCAGGCCTTTGGCAACACCCATAAAAATGTAAAAACTGATGAACATTTGAACAATTTAATCAGAAACTTTTGAAACGAAAATACTTAGACAAAATTTACCCATGGTGCAACAGTCCCTAGATATCTTAATTCCAGTCAAGTTGTCCCAAACATCCACTCTCAGAAGATTTGTACCTAGAAAATTGTCCTCGGTAAATATGTCCCATGACATTTCATCATTGAAAAATTTGTCTGTAGACAATTTATTCTCAGTCTTTACGTCTCCAAGTTCCTTTTCAAAATTCATAGTTACAATGACTGGCACAGAGAACAGACAATTCATATAACCTCTGGGGGAGAGGGTTAGGGAAGGGGCAGATGTTCTAATCTCTGAATCAGATATTCAGGATTGAATCTTAGTATCATGTTATTAATTACTGATTAATTTATGAAAAAGAAAAAAGTGATGCCGAGTAATTGTATTTTAGGAGCTATATCAAAATGAACTAGAAATCATACAATTCCATGCCATAGGCATACTGGTATAATTTTTCAAAATTTACTATTCTTTTGTGAAGAAACAACAAATTTAACAAGAACTTTACAAAGATATTCATCCTTACTTGGCTAATCATAAACAATATTAGTAATAAATTATCAGAGCACAAAAAACTGACATTGTCTGTGCACAGATAATGGGATTGTTTTACATTAAAATTCCAAAAATTATTGAAATATCAATATTAGGAATATTTAAATTGTTTAAATGTCTGATAAAAGGTGAGTGAGAATGGAATGTAAAATAAAAAGCAAATAAACACGGATTACTGTAAGCTTCAGTATAACTCCCACTCCCCTAAATGCCTGACTCAAATAAATGTACTGATGCCTTTTTAGGCCAAGTAAAATTTATTGTTAGTTTCTAATTTTGTTTTTAAATTTGAATTTTTTTTTTCTAGTAAGGAGATTTAATATTTGCTACTGTATTCTGTTGACAAGCAACAGCCCTTCCAACAATACACTGTTTTTATTCAGTGAATGTATCATCGAAGCAACACCATTTTGTTTTAATTTTTCATCGATGTCCATTTTTTTTTTTAGTTTAGTAGAAAAATGGGGCCCAAAAATATGATGAGGGCGGGGATGTAAAAAACCAGGGATTAACTTTATTTTGCCTACTACAGTAACATGAACCTGGTAAAAGAAATTAACTCTGAATTACATTGTTTGCCTAACTGCTTTCCTGTTGTAACTTTCTGTTAGCCTTTTCACTGTCAACTGTATGTAATTCTTCTCGCTGGACTACCGATGTCTCAACTTTCACCACTACAGCTGCCATTTGTAATTCCTGCGGACAAAAAAAAAAGAAATAGATGATTCTTTACTATCTGGCATGTCAAAGAAATTAACATATTGTTTGAAGAAATGCCCCCCCCGCCTTTGATAAACGCCCCCACCGCACAGCTCCCTCAAAATAAGACCCGAGGCATTTACATTTTTTCTAACCGTTGGGATCAATAGGTGATTATAATTATGCAATAATACATTTTGACAGTAATTACGTCTTATACAGTAGTTCTAAATTTACAGTGAAATTATGGAGTGTTTATTTGAGTACCGAAAGGTCCACTGATTAATCTCAGAAAGAAAGTATAATACATACTCCAAGTATTGAAATACACGCCATCGTGTTGGGATTCAATATTTCGACATTAATTATGTCATCATTCCTGATGATGACATAATTAATGTCGAATTATTGAATCCCAACACGATGGCGTGTATTTCAATACTTGGAGTATGTATTATACTTTCTTATTTGAGTACAGCATATACTTTTTACACCAAAAAATAAATAAACACCTCCCTCGAATAAACACCCCCTCAGCCCCTCCAAAACCCTTCTCAAATAAATTTGTTAATTATATTCTTTATATTCAATCTAATGCACTGCAGCACATTTCATACACCTACTTTATAATTTCACATCATCATGATTGATCATCATCTTGATCAAGGAACTGATGACGAGTTGACGAGTTAACTAATTATGCAAATAAACAGACAGATAATAAATTATATACACAATAGCTAATTAGGTAGACACTGAGTTGACGAGGCCAATACTTATGACCAACACACAGTAATTGATTCTTTTCCATTCTGGAAAAATTATTGGCATTTAGAAAAAAAAAAAAATAATAATATAAATAACCAATTTTGAAAAATTTACTTTGTGTAGGTTGCTTCTCTATTTTCCTCCATTTATAATTTGTGAACAGTTCAATAATTTTGAAAACGGAAACGTTTAAGAAAGATTTGATCAAAAGTTATGAAAACACTTATTTGTTCATTTTCTTATCATATGTGTTTGACTTAAGTTTAAAGATGTAGGTACAAGGTGGTTAAAAAAAATTACTGTTCTGAAGATCAATGTTTGGGAATGCAATTGTTGTATAATTTAACCTACTGAAATATAGCAACATGCATAATTTTTAATAACCTCACTATATTTTTTTCCTATAATTAGAAATGAGTTTATATATACACATAACCTACTACCCACTCCACCCAATTCCAAGGTCTATAGTCTAAACTGCAAATATCAAAGCAAACTAATTTTTCTGTATAATTTTAAGAGAGCTAAACATCCTAAAGCAAGACCTTTTTTACACCTTGTTTAGCGAAACCATCACTGCGCCAATGATGATGATATTGAATAAAAATAACATTTTATTTTTGGCCAATTAGCGAACTCACTGCCACGAAAAGATGGAAATTTCATAAAAAAATTTAAATTTTTGTTTATTTTTATTATGACTGCCGCTGCCTTGAAATCTTAAAAAATAAAATGTATATTTGTTCCCAATAATATATAAATTTAAAGCATCTAAACATCCCATTATTCACTGTTTATTTCTTATTTAAGTAACAGGTCTCAAGTTGTCAATATAAACTCAACAAAATCTGATATTATGAATATAAATATTGAATTCCACAAGGCTCGATACTGGGTCCACTATTATTTATTATTCATGTCAATTCGCTATCCGATATCGTGCCTTGTAAATGTGTTATGTATGCTGATGACACTACTATTCTATGCGACTCTTCTGACCCCTTCTCTCTACAATATGATCTTCATTCTAATTTAAATAAAATTGCAAATTGGTTCACTGAAAATAAATTCATTTTAAATATTAAAAAGACAAAATTAATAGTATTTAGGACTAGCCAGATTCTTTCTAAATTAAAAAAAAATTTTATTTCCTTAAAATGGTGATACAATTGAAAGAGTTATTCTTTTAAATACCTTGGCGTTTACCTTTGATCAACAGTTAACCCTCTGGATACCGGATTCTTTTGTAGTGCAAACCCTTGAATACCGGATTCTTTTGGAGTGTAACTAGGTTTTTTGCATTTTTTGAGTATACATTGTTCTGGTGGATTTTTGGTGGAACTTTCTGTAAATTATACAGAAAAATGTTTCTAAAAACAAAGAAAGCTTATAGAATAAGCTTTCATTTGATGTATAATTTATATTTTTAGGATTTTTTTTCATAATATAATATAATATAATATATATAATATAATAGAAATGATAGAAAAATGCTACATATAAATCGTCAGCAAAAACCAAAAAAAAAAAAAAATTATAGCAAAAAAAAAAAATAATAACAAATATAAAACATTCCTATTCCACACTGTTATATAATTTATTTACCCAACCATCCATAACTATAAGCACAATCTTTCCATTCAAATGCAACGACCACCCTCACATTTCTAGGCCTAGGCTCATCTTCATCTAGAACATCTCCGCCGTCAGAACTGCTTGAAGCCCCACCGTCATCATCGCTATCAGGCACGTCCAAGTCTCGCACATCTAAAAGCTCACTTTCATCGCTGTCTGAATAAAAAATCAGGTCAATCGCTTCCTAAGCCTGTCTCTTATACACATCTATGAGGGCGGGGATGTAAAAAACCAGGGATTAACTTTATTTTGCCTACTACAGTAACATGAACCTGGTAAAAGAAATTAACTCTGAATTACATTGTTTGCCTAACTGCTTTCCTGTTGTAACTTTCTGTTAGCCTTTTCACTGTCAACTGTATGTAATTCTTCTCGCTGGACTACCGATGTCTCAACTTTCACCACTACAGCTGCCATTTGTAATTCCTGCGGACAAAAAAAAAAGAAATAGATGATTCTTTACTATCTGGCATGTCAAAGAAATTAACATATTGTTTGAAGAAATGCCCCCCCCC